CTTTCATGGATGGTCATAGTGGGTACAACCAAATTTTTATTGCAGACGCAGACGTTCCTAAGACAGCCTTTCGATGCCCAGGTGCTGTTGGAACTTTTGAATGGGTTGTGATGCCATTTGGTCTGAAGAATGATGGAGGATATGATTGGTAAATTCATGGAAATTTATATTGATGATGTTGTGGTGAAATCAAATGGGGAAGCAGATCACCTGGTTCATTTGAGGAAGTCTTTTGAGCGGATGAGGCAACATGGCTTGAAAATGAACCCACTTAAGTGTGCCTTTGGAGTGTCCACGGGTAACTTCCTTGGGTACTTGGTGCATGAGCGTGGTCTGGAGGTTGACAAGAACAAAGCCAGGGCTGTGATTGAGGCGAAACCACCACAGAACAAGAAGGAGTTGCAAAGATTAATTGGCCAAGTTAATTTCTTAAGACGTTTCATTTCTAACTTGGCTGGGAAAACCAAAGTCTTTTCTCCTCTGTTGAAACGCAAGTCTGAGGCGGATTTTAAGTGGGAAGAACACCACCAGTTTGGCTTTGATATGATAAAGTAGTACTCATCCAGACCACCAGTACTTCTACCGCCTGTGAAAAATAAGCCTTTAATTTTGTATATATCCGCCGCAGACGAGTCCATAGGATGTCTGCTGGCGCAGGAAAATGATAAAAAACAGGAGCAGGCTGTGTATTACTTGAGTCGATGTTTGACCTAGACCGAAGTGAAATACTCTTCGGTCAAAAAGTTGTGTCTTACTCTCTTTTTTGCTGCAATAAAATTAAGACATTATTTGATTTATTCTGAGGTGTATGTGGTTGCCAAGACTGATATTGTCAAATATATGTTGTCCCGCCCTTTGTTAAGAGGCCGAATAGGTAAATGGATTCTGGTCTTGTCTGAGTTTAATTTGAAGTATATACCACAGAGGGCTGTTAAAGGGCAAGCACTGGCAGACTTTCTTGCAGATCATCCATGTCTGGACGTGGAAGCAGATGAAGAAAAAGGGATTAACTTGTTTTTAATAAGTTTAGTTCCCTGGAAACTTATTTTTTATGGGTCTAGTACAGAAACCATGGCTGGAGCTGGAGTCGTGGTAATCTCCCCGTCTGGGCTGAAAACACAGATGTCTTTCCAGCTGGATTTTGATTGCACAAATAATCAAGCAGAATATGAAGCTTTGATTATTGGTCTTGAGATGTTGGTGGAGCTTAAGGTATCCATGGTTGAGGTTATAGGGGACTCACAGCTAGTTTTGAAGCAATTGTCTGGTGAGTACAAATGTACTAGCCTTGCCTTAGCCCCTTATTTTGCCTTGGCTGTGCAATTGCTGGAAGAATTTGATGATGTGTCCATTAGACACATGTCCAGAGACCAGAACTACGAAGCTAATGAAATGGCCCAGATTGCTTCAGGTTTGCGAATTCCAGAAGGTGTAATGCAGAAAGTTGTAATAGTTGAAAAACGCAGTCTACCATCAATTCATCAACGTGGCATGACAATTTCTACTTGCAGCATTGATGTCACCCAAACAGACTGACGCTTTCCAATTATTCAGTATCTTAAGGATCAAAGCACTAAGATGAAAATTTTCAGATGCTGTCTGATGTTCATGATGGGATTTGTGGTGCACACCAGGCTGAGATCAAGATGCGCTGGTTGATTCGCAGACATGGTTTCTTTTGGCCGTCTGTCTTAAAAGATTGTATTGCTTATGCTAAGGGCTGCAAATCTTATCAAATCCATGGGCCACTTCAAAGAGTTCCAGCCTCTGAACTTAATTCTATTGTGAAACCATGGCCATTTCGAGGCTGGGCTATTGACTTAATTGGTAAGGTGTATCCCCCTTCATCAAAAGGTCATTCATTTATTATAGTGGCAACGGATTATTTTACCAAATGGGTGGAGGCTAAACCAATGAAGAAGGTAGACCAATCTGATGTGATTAAGTTCATCAAAGAGGACATTATTCACAGATTTGGTCTGCCAGAAACAATTACAACAGACCAAGGCACAGTTTTTGTCAGACATCAGGTGAAGGCATTTGCAAAAGAAATGGGTTTCCGTCTGTTAAATTCTACTCCTCATTATGCACAAGCTAATGGGCAAGCGGAGGCTTCTAACAAGGTGGTGATTAATTTGCTTGAAAAAATGGTGGATGACAATCCCAGACGTTGGCATGAATTATTGTCTGAAACACTGTGGGTTTATAGAACTTCACAAAGGAGTTCAACCAAAATGACACCTTTTGCCTTGACATATGGCCATGACGCAATTTTGCCAATGGAGCTAACAGCCAGGTCTTTGAGAATGGTGATTCAGCATAATCTCCAGTCTGGGGAGTATGACAAGGCTATGATGCTTGAGCTTGAGGACTTTGAAGACTCACGATTGACAGCCTTGGATAGATTGCAAGCTCAAAAACTCAAAATTGCAAAATCTTACAACAAGAGAGTAAAAGGTAAGAATCTGGCAGTTGGTGACTTGGTCTGGAAAGTAATTTTACCTCTTTGGCAAGAAAGATCACAGATTTGGGAAATGGTCTCCAAATTGGGAAGGACCATTCCGAATTCATGAAGTGTTGAAAGGGGGTGCTTATTGGTTGGAGTCACTTGATGGAGAGCTTCATCCCAGAAAAATCAATGGAATTTATCTCAAGCCTTATTACCCCACAGTCTGAGAGGCAAGAGGCTTAGAGTCCCAAGAAACTGTCTAAGCAGGTTCATACTTCTGTCTGTGCATAAATAAGTTGATTTGCTTCCATGCATTTATTCCAAAATAAGAACAAGTTTGATCGAGCGGCCATGACTGGTTGTGGATGACTGGCTGTGGATGGCTGGATGCGCTCAGACAGAGTCAGCTGTGAAAAAGTTGAGAATGCCTACTGCAATCATCTTGGGATTTAGCAGATTTTGCACGTGGCCTTTGGAGTCTGAAAGGTAATTTAAAATTTAAACACTTGGATTTATTCCCATAAAACCAAGTGTTG